AAAAAAAAAAAAAAAAAAAAAAAAAGCCTGTACAATGTGTTAATTTGGGGGAAATTCCTTTTGTTAAAAAACAAATAAAAATCCAAAACACTGAGTGAGAAATGAAAGACAAAAATCAATCTGATTCCACGGGCTGTCACAGGCACCGAGGTGGGTTTTAAACAGTTTAGCGGGCACAATCCTTTGATATTTAAAATTGCTTCATGATGAATAATATTTTATTATTACAGATGTCAGGGTCTAATTAGGACCTGCCAGTTTTGCTTTGCTTTGAGCAATGGGAAGGGCAGTAATGAGTCCACGCTGGTGGTAATCACCTTCCTTTTGTTAACGAGGCAGGATGATGCACAGCCCCTGCCCCAGCCCCTCATGCCCAGCAGAACCCCCTGAATCCATCAATTTGGAGATGGGGATTTGTTCTGTTTTACTAAAGCCCCACCAGAAGCTCAGTGCTGGTTTTGGGATTGCTCTTAATGAAATTAAAAGGTTTTTTTCCCTGTGCCCCCCATCCTGCTGGAATCCAGCACTGGGATCAAGAGTTTCCCAATTTATGGTCCTTGACCCTGTGGATAAGCCCTGCCCAGTCCATGGGCCAACCTCTCTCCCAGGACCAGAGATTTGGTTATAAAAACCCAAATCTGGAGAATATTCTCTGGGTGACAGCGCCAAATTAAGGAATTTCTCTCACTTTCCCATCCTGCTCCTGATCTGCACTAAATACACCAGAGCAAGAACAAATAAATTTGTTTGTATTAATGAAATGTATTAAATTCCTGCCCCACCCCTGGAAGTGGCAGGATGGGATCTGGAGCAGCCTGGCACAGTGGAAGGTGTCCCATGGCAGGGGTGGCACTGGAGGAGCTTTAATGTTCCCTTCCCACCCAAAGCACTCCATTATTCCAATCTGTGACTCTAAATCAGAGTATTTTCCTAACAGGCACATCCTGGGCTGGTAACTGATGTGGAATGACCAATTTGCATCAGATTTTCCCTGAAAACACAACTCCCTGAGCCACACCTACCTGGCCAGGGCGCAGTCCGTCCGCTGACCTGTGCAGGAGACACAGAAATCCAGCATGAGGAGGGAGGAATGGGAAAATGCTTTCAGTGTTTCTGTACAGAGAATTCTGGAAGGAGATGGAGGAAAGGAGAGAGGGGGGGAAAGCTCCAAGGACAGCACCAAACCCATCCCTGCCAGCTGAGCTCCACCAAATCCAACCAGGCACCAGCTCAGGCTGTCCAAGGACTCCTATCTCTGTGAATTCTTGTTTTTAAATAGATTTTTTTTTTGTTTGTTTTTTAAAATAGAAATTCCCACCCTGAGCATTCTAATTGTTAACTTCTGCCAAAAAACTGGGCTTGTCAGTCCCTCCCTCCTCCCAGGGGAACTGGTGGGGCGAGAGATTCTCCTTCACAAAGCCCCTCAGGAAGAGTGCAAACATTCCCAGATTTGTCAGCCCACAGCCTGAACGTGCTGGCACCGGAGCTATTTTGAGAGACAGACGTTCAGTGGTGTTTTCCACAAACATATTTATAAAAACACTCCATTAACTTGCGCCGAGTTTCCCAGGAAGCGGCAGCCAAGCTCGGGACTTGCTAATGCAGCATCACCTAAAACATCACAACACAAGAGGCAGGAAAAAGGAGGATGTGCTGCTGGGAGTGGGACAGGATCGTTTTTTTGGTGCAAAAAAAAAATCAGTGAAACCACACTGATTCCCACCAGCTGAAAATCCACCTTCCCTCCTGTTGTCTTCCTGCTCCTGGGGAGATGCAGAGAGGAGTGAGGGAAGCAGCTAATTGCTGATGGCTGACAATTAGTCGAGCACATCTTGATAGCCACTTTTGCTCTCCCCACCTAAAGCCAAAACAGTGCATAATTTACATGAAAATGTTATTCTGCAGCAGAATTTCCAGCCATCTGTCCCCGTTTTCATCATGGAATATTCATACAGAGAAATTACACGGCTGTGGCAGCATCAAGGGGCTCCTGCATTAGGGTGACAAATGGGGACAGGAGGCAGGGACATAATTACTTGCAGAGAGGAGGACTTGCTGCTACTTTTATTGCTGGAACTTGTCATCTTCAGATTAAGGCAATTTGCACCACGACTGAAAAATGTCACCTGAGGATGGGGCAGGGAGGAGAATAAAAAATAACGACCCCCTGAACTTGCCAGGCACTGAAGACACGCAGCTGGAGGCACATTTTCCTCTAAAGCTCCTAACCGGGCTCTGGGGACGTGTGAAGGGAATTTTATTTGCCCATTTCCCAATTAAGTGACATTTTATGGATAAATCCAGGCACGCTCCCCAGTTTGTACCATTAACCTGCTCCAGTGGGTTGGGAAATGGGAAGTTCCTCCCTTTTCCCAGTTCCTTTTGATCTCACAGATGACAGGAAGAGTTTTTTTATTTTGGTGCTCACCCTGACACTCACAGGGCCACTAAGACAGCTCTGGTTTGCAAAAAGCCAACGAAGGAAAGAGAAGCAGCCTTTAAACCCACACAGCAATACAGAAATCACATTTAATTCCTCTCCTTTCCCCCCACCACAGCTTGGGCCGGGTTGAGGGGGCAGGCAGGTTAAGAGGAGCCGGGTTAGGAATGCAGAGGTCAGCCACGACACAGCAACGGGATCAGCCACAGGGGCAGCACGGCTGGCACTCACAGATATTTAGAGGCACAAGAAAAATGCCCTGAGGACACAAAACTTTGGCTTCAGCCACCCTTTCTTACAGGAGAGCTGAAGAGACGAGCAACTTTAACAGCTCCAACCCAAACTGAGGCGCGTCCTCCCCTCATCTCCCAGCGGTCGGGCTCTGATAAACACAAAACTCTTAATTACTGCAGCAAGGAGTATTTTAATTTGCCAGCACGTTTTCCAAGTGAAAGCAAAGCACTTCAAAGCCCACATGCTGGCTGAGCTCTCATCCAGAATCCTGGCACAGCAGGAGTGTGGGGAGTCCAGCTCAGACACAGCCCAGGACTGAGCCCAGCCCGTTCTTGACCTGACATTTAGACTGCTCAAACCTTCTCCTCTGCAAACAGGGCAGGCAGGTTTCTATGGAAACTTGGATGCGTAGTTGAAGGGTTTTTGGCCAACAGGATTTGCCCATACCATGAAGGGAAAGAAATCTGCCTTTGTTCTAAGCCTAACAGCAAATGAATATTCAGATCTGGTTGCTGCCCCCTGAATGATGCCCTCTAGACAGGCAACGTGTTTCACATGCTCTGAAATTTGTTTGTGCTTCTCCTGGAACAGCCTGGGCTCCCACACATTGGTGTGAACCCACAGAGGTGAGGAGCAGCTGGACTGCCACACAAATGAAGGCCCAGTAATTCTGGATTGATGTGTAAATCACCAGGTAAATAATTCTGGATTGATCAGTGAATCTCCAGGTAAATAATTCTGGATTGATCAGTGAATCACCAGATATTTCTGCATTGATCAGTGAATCACCAGGTAAATAATTCTGGATTGATCAGTGAATCACCAGGTAATTCTGGATTGATCAGTGAATCACCAGGTAATTCTGGATTGATCAGTGAATCACCAGGTAATTCTGGATTGATCAGTGAATCACCAGGTAATTCTGGATTGATCAGTGAATCACCAGGTAATTCTGGATTGATCAGTGAATCACCAGGTAATTCTGGATTGATCAGTGAATCACCAGGTAATTCTGGATTGATCAGTGAATCACCAGGTAATTCTGGATTGATCAGTGAATCACCAGGTAATTCTGGATTGATCAGTGAATCACCAGGTAATTCTGGATTGATCAGTGAATCACCAGGTAATTCTGGATTGATCAGTGAATCACCAGGTAATTCTGGATTGATCAGTGAATCACCAGGTAATTCTGGATTGATCAGTGAATCACCAGGTAATTCTGGATTGATCAGTGAATCACCAGGTAATTCTGGATTGATCAGTGAATCACCAGGTAATTCTGGATTGATCAGTGAATCACCAGGTAATTCTGGATTGATCAGTGAATCACCAGGTAATTCTGGATTGATCAGTGAATCACCAGGTAATTCTGGATTGATCAGTGAATCACCAGGTAATTCTGGATTGATCAGTGAATCACCAGGTAATTCTGGATTGATCAGTGAATCACCAGGTAATTCTGGATTGATCAGTGAATCACCAGGTAATTCTGGATTGATCAGTGAATCACCAGGTAATTCTGGATTGATCAGTGAATCACCAGGTAATTCTGGATTGATCAGTGAATCACCAGGTAATTCTGGATTGATCAGTGAATCACCAGGTAATTCTGGATTGATCAGTGAATCACCAGGTAATTCTGGATTGATCAGTGAATCACCAGGTAATTCTGGATTGATCAGTGAATCACCAGGTAATTCTGGATTGATCAGTGAATCACCAGGTAATTCTGGATTGATCAGTGAATCACCAGGTAATTCTGGATTGATCAGTGAATCACCAGGTAATTCTGGATTGATCAGTGAATCACCAGGTAATTCTGGATTGATCAGTGAATCACCAGGTAATTCTGGATTGATCAGTGAATCACCAGGTAATTCTGGATTGATCAGTGAATCACCAGGTAATTCTGGATTGATCAGTGAATCACCAGGTAATTCTGGATTGATCAGTGAATCACCAGGTAATTCTGGATTGATCAGTGAATCACCAGGTAATTCTGGATTGATCAGTGAATCACCAGGTAATTCTGGATTGATCAGTGAATCACCAGGTAATTCTGGATTGATCAGTGAATCACCAGGTAATTCTGGATTGATCAGTGAATCACCAGGTAATTCTGGATTGATCAGTGAATCACCAGGTAATTCTGGATTGATCAGTGAATCACCAGGTAATTCTGGATTGATCAGTGAATCACCAGGTAATTCTGGATTGATCAGTGAATCACCAGGTAATTCTGGATTGATCAGTGAATCACCAGGTAATTCTGGATTGATCAGTGAATCACCAGGTAATTCTGGATTGATCAGTGAATCACCAGGTAATTCTGGATTGATCAGTGAATCACCAGGTAATTCTGGATTGATCAGTGAATCACCAGGTAATTCTGGATTGATCAGTGAATCACCAGGTAATTCTGGATTGATCAGTGAATCACCAGGTAATTCTGGATTGATCAGTGAATCACCAGGTAATTCTGGATTGATCAGTGAATCACCAGGTAATTCTGGATTGATCAGTGAATCACCAGGTAATTCTGGATTGATCAGTGAATCACCAGGTAATTCTGGATTGATCAGTGAATCACCAGGTAATTCTGGATTGATCAGTGAATCACCAGGTAATTCTGGATTGATCAGTGAATCTCCAGGTTTGGCCCAGCAGGGATAAGCAGGATGGGTGTGAGGGGGGGAGCAGCACACAGATCAGTGATGACCATCAGTGCCTCGTTAAGCATTTTGGTGATCACCACACAGCTCAGAGGAATCAATTCATAAAACACCAGCACGGCCACTGTGCATTGCTAATCCAGGGCTGCCACCCTCAGCTGAGTAATCCAGAAAATTAATTCAATAAATTAATTATCCCATTAAAAACAAATAAATTAAATGGATAAACAGCCTGGCTGAGGGCTGTGCTGGGGACACACACTCACTTTCTCCCAGGGTCTTCTGAAGGAGGTCGTGCTTGGCCTGGAGCTTCGTGATCAGGTTCCTGCCTTCCAGGTACTCCTTCATTTTCTGTGGAAAAAAACAGGATGGTGAGTGGATAATTCATTTCTCTGGTCAATACTTTGGTTGGTGGATTGTGAACAGGAGGGCAGAGTGACACTGAATTTACAGAGTGACCCAAAATTTATACAGCAACTCTGAATTTACAGTTACAGAATGACACTGAATTTACAGAATGACACTGAATTTACAGAGTGACACTGAATTTACAGTGACACTGAATTTACAGTGACACTGAATTTACAGTGACACTGAATTTACAGTGACACTGAATTTACAGTGACACTGAATTTACAGTGACACTGAATTTACAGTGACACTGAATTTACAGTGACACTGAATTTACAGTGACACTGAATTTACAGTGACACTGAATTTACAGTGACACTGAATTTACAGTGACACTGAATTTACAGTGACACTGAATTTACAGTGACACTGAATTTACAGTGACACTGAATTTACAGTGACACTGAATTTACAGTGACACTGAATTTACAGTGACACTGAATTTACAGTGACACTGAATTTACAGTGACACTGAATTTACAGTGACACTGAATTTACAGTGACACTGAATTTACAGTGACACTGAATTTACAGTGACACTGAATTTACAGTGACACTGAATTTACAGTGACACTGAATTTACAGTGACACTGAATTTACAGTGACACTGAATTTACAGTGACACTGAATTTACAGTGACACTGAATTTACAGTGACACTGAATTTACAGTGACACTGAATTTACAGTGACACTGAATTTACAGTGACACTGAATTTACAGTGACACTGAATTTACAGTGACACTGAATTTACAGTGACACTGAATTTACAGTGACACTGAATTTACAGTGACACTGAATTTACAGTGACACTGAATTTACAGTGACACTGAATTTACAGTGACACTGAATTTACAGTGACACTGAATTTACAGTGACACTGAATTTACAGTGACACTGAATTTACAGTGACACTGAATTTACAGTGACACTGAATTTACAGTGACACTGAATTTACAGTGACACTGAATTTACAGTGACACTGAATTTACAGTGACACTGAATTTACAGTGACACTGAATTTACAGTGACACTGAATTTACAGTGACACTGAATTTACAGTGACACTGAATTTACAGTGACACTGAATTTACAGTGACACTGAATTTACAGTGACACTGAATTTACAGTGACACTGAATTTACAGTGACACTGAATTTACAGTGACACTGAATTTACAGTGACACTGAATTTACAGTGACACTGAATTTACAGTGACACTGAATTTACAGTGACACTGAATTTACAGTGACACTGAATTTACAGTGACACTGAATTTACAGTGACACTGAATTTACAGTGACACTGAATTTACAGTGACACTGAATTTACAGTGACACTGAATTTACAGTGACACTGAATTTACAGTGACACTGAATTTACAGTGACACTGAATTTACAGTGACACTGAATTTACAGTGACACTGAATTTACAGTGACACTGAATTTACAGTGACACTGAATTTACAGTGACACTGAATTTACAGTGACACTGAATTTACAGTGACACTGAATTTACAGTGACACTGAATTTACAGTGACACTGAATTTACAGTGACACTGAATTTACAGTGACACTGAATTTACAGTGACACTGAATTTACAGTGACACTGAATTTACAGTGACACTGAATTTACAGTGACACTGAATTTACAGTGACACTGAATTTACAGTGACACTGAATTTACAGTGACACTGAATTTACAGTGACACTGAATTTACAGTGACACTGAATTTACAGTGACACTGAATTTACAGTGACACTGAATTTACAGTGACACTGAATTTACAGTGACACTGAATTTACAGTGACACTGAATTTACAGTGACACTGAATTTACAGAATGACACTAATTTTCAGTGACACTGAATTTACAGAGTGACACTGAATTTACAGTAACACTGAATTTACAGAGTGACACTGAATTTACAGAGTAACACTGAATTTACAGAGTAACACTGAATTTACAGTGACACTGAATTTACAGTGACACTGAATTTACAGAGTGACACTGAATTTACAGAGTGACACTGAATTTACAGTAACACTGAATTTACAGAGTGACACTGAATTTACAGAGTAACACTGAATTTAGAGTGACACTGAATTTACAGTGTGACACTGAATTTAGAGTGACACTGAATTTGCAGTTGCAGAGTGACACCAAAATTGACAATAACAGAATAACTCTGAAATTCACAGTTAAAGCACAAACTAAATCCTGCCTTGTGCATCTGGGTAACTCTGAAGCTCAGCCCACTGATATTTTGAGCCCAACCAATCTTGAATCAACGATCTTCCAGGCCTTTTCCACCCTTAACAATTCTGAAATTCTGTGAATTCTCCATCTGCAGGGCAATTTCCATTGTTCCACTGTGGGATCAGCTGAATGTTTGGCATCTTCTGAGCCATCAGAGGAGCTGTCATCCACCCCTCAGTGAATGAGCAATCTGTTTTAACCAACTAAAAGGCTGCTACTGTGCTTATTCTCTCACTTAACCTCCCTCACCCCACTTTACTTGTCAAACCCTGCGTCTGCCTCCACGCTGGATGATCCACAGGGCTGCAAAGGACAAAACAAATGAAGATATTATTGAAGTTCAGATTTATTCTGGCAGTGGGATATTGTACAGCCACGCATTTTTCCTGCTGCTCCCTGATTTTCCACAGCTCTGCAAATGCTGGGGGTTTTTTTTGGTTTTTTTTTTTCTTTTTGCAGCTCTTTCATCTCTGATCTTGCAGTTCTGAGCAGTTTTATTTATCTTCACTGAGCTGCAGCGTGTGAAATACTCTGCTGCACAGGGGCTGCCCACATTAGAAATGCGATATATTTGCACTCAAAACCACAAACTCTGCAAATATCACAGAGCACCCTCTGGAATCCTGAGAGATCTTCAAATTTCTGCCAGCAGAACGAGCCCAGAGAGAGGATCCTCGTCTAATAATGAAATGTTCTTGTCAGAATCAAATCCTCCAATGGTTTAGGTGGGAAGGAACCCCAAAGCTCCTCCAGTTTTATGGCAGGGACACTTTTCACCATCCCAGGTTGCTCCAAGTCCCGTCCAGCCTGGCCTTGGACACTTCCAGCTTTCCCCAATTCAATCCAATTCCTTCCAGGTCTGATCTGCCCACTTAAAACTGCAAATCCTCGAGGTAAAAATTGGTATTTTTAACCACAGGAGAGCCTGGACCCCGCTTGGCCTTTGCAGGAGCAGCCTCTGTGCGGGATGGAAAGAGGCAAGTAGAAATAGACACATCAATAAATAAAGGAATTTATATAAACCCACACTGGGGCAGCAGTGAGGGTGAGGGAAAACCTTCCAGGAACTCCTCAGCTTCCCCTGAGGGCTCCCCAGCCCTGGTGTGCACTGACACAACAAACAAAAATGGCTTTAATTAACTGCCAAAAGCCTGGGTTTTATGTCCCTTTGCTTGACAACACTGAAAGAAACATTTCACAAGAATTAAGTACCTTTGGAAAGTCTCAGTGTTTCCTGCTTCCTTTATTAATATTTCAAATTTGTTGTTGTTGTTGTTTTGGAAGAAAACAGGAAGCGCCCTCACCACTATGAAAAATTAATTCCATTTTTTTTTGGGGAGGGGGAATATCCCTGTAGAATCTGTTCACCGAGCCCTAAATGGATTTTGCTCAATCAGTGAAATTTTTGCAGAAGAAAATACAATGAGCACAAATTGCAAAAATAACCTGTCTGAAGTGGGGGAGCTGAGGGTGAATCTGGCTCTGGGGGGTCTCAGGTGGAAGGACAGGAGGGTTGGAAGGCTCAGCTGCAAACAGGAGCTTAAAGATCAGCAAATCAACTCGTCTTGGCAGGGTTAAGCTCCCCTTTGAAGCAGAACTAAACACTTAAGCCCAGCCTAAGGTGGGCCAGGCAGGGCAGGGCAGAGGCACTCACTGGGACTTGCTCTGGCTTCAAGGTCATTAAAAACACCAACAGGTACCAGGGGTTGCTTTAAAGGAGAAAAAGATGTTCCCATCCACTGCAGAATCTCATTTTTTTTTTGCTGTTTCCTCATGCCTAACATTCTGTTCCCACTGCAAGGATGCTGATGGAAAAAAAACAAAATTAATTTAAAAAAAAAAAAAAGCTTCAGGCTTTTCTCAATGAATCACAAAGATGCATTAGCCCTGGATTCTTGGCTTAATAAAGAGAGTCAGAGGGGAAAAAAAAATAAATAAAAATAATCAAACTACAGGAGACCTGTATGAGGATTTCACTCATTGGAACCAACTGGAACCAGAACAAAGCAGCAGAAACCTCGTTTTTGCAGGGTGACAATTCAGAGGTGAAGATCAGCTGGGAGTCAGAGCCAGGAGCATTTCTGCACCTACAAAACGGAGGAAGGTGGGAATCTCTGAGCCCAAAGCCCTGCAGGATGTTCCCAGCCAGAACCAGCTGCAGCAGGGATGAAGCAGAACCCAACCAGACCCTGCCTTCCCCCCTGGTCAGGATATTAAGAAAAAAAACATTTCTGCCACTGCTCCACATCCTGATCCATCCCCAGCCAGGAAAACGCAGTGATTTTCCTCTCTCACCCCTCTCCAAGAATAATTCCAGCTCGACTGAAGGATGTGGGAACTGGATCCACTTCCCACAGGGCCAGCACCAGCAGGACCCCCCAGCTGCAGGACTCGGGAGGATTTCATCCCCCATCTCCCCATGTGGCAAAAACAAACCTGCATTAAACCCACAGCACTTCACACCAGCATTGTTCTGCTTCCTCCTCTTTCCAGAGTTAAAAAAACCCAACATTTTGCCTAAAATGATGCTGGTTTAGAGGTGAAAGAATGAAAATTTCCCCCCCTTGTCAGTGCCCAGGCGGTGCCAGCTGTGCCCAGCTGTGCCCGGATCCCTGGCTCTGGAAGCAGGGCTGTAACCATGGCAGCAGCAGCGCATCCCTGGATTTTGGCTCCCTGAAGTCGCTGTCACCTCCCTGCCTCACCACCTGCAGCAGCTCAGGGCTGAGCCCATCCTTCCCTGCACTCTGGGAAGTTTAAATTCCCCTGAACACAAATCTCCCTTCAAAGCCCAGCGGGAGATCCATCAGCACACCGGGATGAGGAAATACAGATTATTCCAGTCTGCAGATACCCCAATGAGTGTCCTTCCACTAAAATCCCATTGCTGTATTCAGCCAAGAGCTCTGCCTAGGAATGCAGCACATGGAATTTCCTCCCTGAGTCACATTCATATGGAATATTCTTTGAAATCAGCGTTTTTCTTACGGTTCCTGTCCCCCAGCACATCACAAGGTAAAAGGGAATTAAATCTCAGTTCTGCACTGCACTTTGTTTTTTATCCCCTACACAAAGCTCTGCCCCCAGGCCTCATTAATGCCCATCTGAGGGTTTTATGAGACACTGAAAAAGCTGCTCCTGGCAGATTCAGAGCTGGAAATCCTTATCAAGGCTATTTATAAGCCTGGCCAATAGCAGATCAATGCAGCATCTGATCAGGCTGGGTCTCTCTCTAGCACCACACCAACAACATGAAACAGAGAAATATCCCATCCAGATTGAGCCCTGGGCTCCTCCTGCTCCTGTTTGAACTCAAAATAGCTCTCCCTAGAGAGGGAAAGCTCAGAGTTCAATTAAAAATCACTTTTCTAGTTCCATAACCCTGGGCAGGGCGGTCAATCCTGCCTTAATTGAAGCAGCTTCTCCACCCACTTCTCTCAACAGCCAGATTCACCTTCAGTGAAGGATTTTGGATTTTTCCAAGTCAAGGCCTAATGATCCATCCTGCCAAGTTAGTTCCATTTGCACTGAAAATTCAGATTTTTAACAAGCAACACCGTTCTGGGAAGAAAGTGGTGAAGGATGCCCAAAGGAATCACAAATTATCCAGGGTAAAATCCATGATTTTCATCTGCTGCTCGGGAATATTTTGAAACTGGAAACAAATTCAACGGTTTAACATAAATCTGATGCAGGAAAAAGATAGTCTGGCACGAAATTCAATATCAAAAAGCACTCAGCATCTTGTAAAAAACACTGACTCAATGAAAAGCTTATGCAGGCTGAAATTGTAAGATGATAACAAAAAAAATGAAAGAGCTAAACATTCTTTAGTTTGCACTAGTTTTGAAATTTCATGTTTACAAGCTATTAAGTTCTTTCTCAGAAAACTCCTTTTCAGATGCAGAAGAAACCAAACTTGACACAATTTACCCACAGACTATGTTTGAATCAACAGAGGCATCCCAAAATACCTCCAGGGAATTGAGAGCACACGTTTTTAAACCCCAACACTCTGCTTGCCCAAAATCAGTGAGAGAAGCGTTTTCTGTTGGGCAGGAACATCACACTCCGTTGTGAGGATAATTCTGAATGGATCACATTGAAAATTACAGAATTGTGGAATGGGTTGAGTTGGGAAGGATCCTAAAGATCATCCAGGGGATGGGCAGGGACACTTTCCACTATCCCAGGCTGCTCCAAGCCTTGGACACTTCCAGGGATGGAGCAGCCACAGCTGCAGCACCCTCACAGGGCAGAACTTAATGAGACAGGGGGGGAAAAAACCTCCAAAATCCCTAAGAATCAGCCCCTTACTGTGAAGTAGAACTGCTCAGTCTCCTGCTGGTTTGCCCTCCTCTTGGCAATGCTGGGTTTGCTCATGAACGTTTCCGACACCGTGGATTTCACCGACTCCATGGAGTTGCTGTACTGGAAGCAGTCAGAGACATCAAAGTCCTCTATGGTGACAATGTCCTGGATCGTCTGCAGCGTGGCCTCCATCGTCTTCTTAACCTGCCCAGCAAGGAGGAGAGAACCCAAAACCTCAAGGTTTTCTCTTGTAAGTAAACAACAGAGGTCGTGGAGTCCCCCCGAGCTCTTTGCTAATAAACAGATATTACTGGTTTCACACCCTGTGTGCTGTAATTAATTCTGGCTCGTTAACAGCACAGTCCATGCAAGCACAGAGCTGGCAGCACCCTGAACCTGCCAGGACTCGGTGCCAGGATTGCAGTTGTGATCTCACGGGCTGGGATCAGGAGGAGATGGAAAGAAATTTCACCTCAAAGCAAAGAAAGCTGGAACAAAGATTTCCCTAAATTGTCTTCTGCAACTGCATCTACTGGGCATCAAATGTTAATTACAAACAGGACTCTGCTGCACTGTGCACTTTTACTGAAGGCCAGAATCAACTTTCCAGACATAAAAGGGGTTGTAAATTTTGCCCCAAAATTCCTGAACACAGAGGTGCAGGGATTAGATCCCCGTTCCTGTCATCTTCCTCTCACCTTGGATAGCCAATGAAACAAAAATCACTAACTCAGGTTATGCATACTCACTTCAAAACATTAAATTCCTCCTTTTCCATTTGCTATCCAAATTCAGCCTTGGCAAAACAGCCAGTCTTATCAAGTTAAGGATGGGAAGAGAAATATGGGGGGGGATTTTAAAGGATTTTAAAGGATTCTCTCCAAGCACCCAACTTTGCTGTGAGATCGCACGATAATTTATGCACAAGATGCTTTGGCCTTGAATTTTACCACAAATGTTAACAAAAAGGGATCACAACAACCAGATTCTTCCACAATCAGTGCCCAATAACCACTGGAAGTGGCTAAGAGGGGCTGCTGAGTTTTGGTTATTCACTGACCTCTTCATTTTCAATCTTCAGCGTCGACAGCCGGGACTGCAGCTGCTGACACCTCTGCACCAACTCGCTCTGGACTGGCTGCTGGGCACAGAGCTGAGACTCCTGCAAGAGAAACAGCACAGCAGAGCATTGCAGTCACTCATTTATTTATCAGACACAAACTCCCTGAAGTGCTGAACTTCCAAACTCGGTGAAGCTGGGTTTCAACCAGAGGAGAAGGTTCTGCAGAAGCTGGGAGGATTGAACAGCGAGCAGAGGATGATGGCAGCATCAAAGAAGAGCCAGAAAGCATCAGCTGCTTTCAGTGATGTCAGCTCATCGTGTGCTGTGCAAGTCTGGAGGTGCTGTACCCCAGGTATTTGGATAAACCACATCAAAAATGAAGAATTTGGTTCAGTTCTTCAGCCAGGCACCCTGGGCTAGGGGCACAAGGGGCTGGGATTGCTCAGCTGAGCCACCTGCACGGCACAGCAACAGGCACAGGTCACTCCTGGATGAATCCAGGGCAGCAGAAATAAAAAGAGCACAGGCTGGGGACCTGTCACACACACCAGAACACCGAGGTTCCCTGAGCTGCTCGTTTTGTTCTGGGTTTTGTGTGGGTTTTCTTACAAGAAAACACTGACCTCGCTGCCTGAGGCTGTTTCTTCAGAGACAGAAATTGAAACTGGGAGTTTTATCCCAGCCGTGCACACACAGGATCACACATTCTGATTTCATCTGCTGCGTGCAGCACCACTGCAACAAGAGCATCAGCTGCATTTCTAAACACTCCTCAGGCCTTGAGAGATAAATGATAAATGATTCAGTGAATGGGAGCTGCTCCTGAATGAGACTCTGCAGGTGATTCCTTTTCTTCCTACGATCTTACAGCATCACAAGCACAGAAAAATCCAGGAAAGGTCATTTGGAGTCTGAAAAACGGGAGAGACAAAGAGGAGCCTGGAGCAGTGGCTGTAATTCCCAGCCCAAAAGGAGAGGCTGTCTGCAGGAGCCTGTGCTCGGGGGATAATCTGGAAATGCAACCAACTGACCCAAATTGTCACTCTGTGCATGTGCTCCCACTCAGAACCAGTTTCACTTGTGGGGCTTTCAGCAGCTCCCAGCTGAGCAACCACGTCTTGTTAAACACAAAAAAGAGAGGGGTTTGCCCTGCCAAAAATGAAGATTCCTCTGACAGCCCCAGCTCACAGGGAGGATGCAGAAAGCACCAGCACAAAGCATTTGTGCTCTCAGGTTGCACACTCAGACACTGCAAAAAAACAGCATTTAGGTTTCTTATATTGGCCCTTCCAATCTCAAAATTCAGAGGCTGTCTTGGGGATCAACCTGTGGTTGAAGGAAAGCGTTTCCTACTCCCATTTAATATCAAACCTAATTAAGAATTTTCACCTCCAGTGAAGGGCCAAGGGTCAGGATCAGCTTGGATTTAACAGCAGCTCCTTGTCACAGAATCTCTGGGGCTGCAAGGGACCTCTGGAGATCATCCAGCTTTGACAGCCAAGAAACTTTACAAACAGAGATATCTCTGCTTCGTCTTTTCATCATCTCCAACCTCCCAGGCTCCCCAAAGAGCCCACCAGGCAGCCCTGGAGGGGTCACTTTATCAAAAGTGAGTGTGATAAACAGGCAGAGCGAGCTGCACCCGCACTGACCATGTCCCCCATGTGTGGCTGGAACTCAAACTTCATGGGGGGGCAGAAGACGTTGTTGTACATCTCCATCAGCCTCTGCTTGTCGCTGTTGGCGTCCAGGTTCTCCACGGCGTTCTCGATGGCGTCCAGCCCCTCGTGCTTGGACTGCTCCAGGTTGAGCTCGGCCGACAGGAACGTCCTCAGGGCTCTGTTGAGGCTGGCGTGGTAGCCCAGGTCACAGCACTGCTGGAAAAACACACACAACTCCAGATGAATAAGGGAACTCAGGAATGGGGATCTGAGCGCTTCCAGAGGTTGGATAAATGGGGAATGAGATGTGGGGGTTTTGTTGTCTTTGTCCCATTGGCTGCACAGAGCTCCTCAAGGTGTAACCCCATGCAAATTTTATCATTGATTACCAAGATTAAATCATTGTAACAGCTTGTGGGGTTTTCTTGGAGTTTTTGAGACTCGTTTTTCATGGAGTACTCGAGACTCATTTCATCCAAAAAGTTTAACAGCAGAATTTCTCTAAATTCTAACCTGACTCTTTTAGGGCTCTTGTTCCTATGAAAACACCTCAAAATCCTTAAATAACACCATGCAAAGGAAGAGGAAAGCAAGTCACTGAAGTGCTATTGGAGAGACAAGATTTGGATCATCTATAAAGGCCAATCTGCACCCAAATAATTCCACAATTCCAGCAAACTGCTTCGTTCCATGTACTCCAGGAAGGAGGAGCACGACCTGGACGTGAAAACAGAGTCACCAAACCCAGCAGCCACCACTTGGGGATGATTCCATTGCTGGGGTGAAACAGAAGAGCAAAAAACTTTGAAGCAAGAAGTGGTTATGGTCAAGAATTTCCTGGCTATGGCTGACACTGGGATGATGTCACCGGGGGACAATCAAGCAGCTTCATTTCCACCACGGCTGCAAGAGCCAAGTTTTCCTGTTTCAGAAGGGGAAAAAAAGGAGCTTTTCATTAGCAGGAGATCAGAAGCAGCCTGGATTTTTCAGCCATCTCATAAAGTGAACAAGAAGGAGCCCACCTTCCTGGAACTGCGAGCAAGATTACATCCACTAGGAGAATATCCAAAAAGGGAAGAAAGAGACCATCTGCTTGATTGCTGTGCTGCTCTGTAAGCAAAATTCACATGAAAACTCCCATCATTTGGGTCTCATCACTGTCATTGTTTGCAAACGCAGGGGAAAAAAAGAGGGGAAAAAAGAAGGGGTGGGGGGAGAGGGAAGAGAAAGTGCTGGACCATTCCCTGCTCCCACAGAATTCCTGCCACCGAGTGCTGGAAGCCTGGCTCTTGTGCCAAACAAGCTGTGGCAGGTGTGAAGCCTTGGAAAAAGAGCTGCAGTTGCTGGTTGGGCTGCAGGCAGTGAATTAAAGGACTTTACATTCAATCAGAAAAGAATAAAACCAGCCAAGCAAAAAAAAAAAAAAAAAACAAAAACCAACAACCACCCAAAAAACCCCAAACCAAAACAAAAAGCAAAATAAAAGAGGCTTGATTGAGAATCTGCACGTGTGGAGGCAGCCTTGGATGAAGAGGCACTCCCAGCTCAGTCTGCAGCCATGGGGGAAAGATGGGATTGGGACAGGGATTGGGATCAGCTCACATTTAACAGCAGCACTTGCTCCTTTCCACAGGATTTTTGGGGTTGCAAGGGACCTCTGGAGATCACCCAGGTCAAGCCAGGGTCACCTGGAGGTGACACAGGGACACGTCCAGGTGGGTTTGGGGCATCTGCAGGGAGGGAAACTCCAGGACTTCCCTGGGCAGAAGTTCCAGGGCTCTGCCACCCTCATGGACAGAAGCTCTTCCCCATGTTGAGGTGGAATTTCTTGTGTTTGTGGTTTATTACTCCTTGTTCTGTCGCTGAACAGAGCCTGGCACCGTCCTGACATCCCTTGGGGAGGTTTGTATGGATTGGGGGGAGGTTTGTATGGATTGGTGGGAGGTTTGTATGGATTGGTGGGAGGTTTGTATGGATTGGTGGGAGCCCCTCCCAGCCCCCAAAATTGTCTTTGTGGGTTCTGCTGGACCCTCCCCAGCAGCTCCCTGTCATTCCTCAACTGCAGAGCCCAGAACTGAACACAATTCCTGCTGGTGCACCCTCCCAGTGTGACCAGTTTGTCCTCCCAGGAATGCACTGGGAGGACTGGGAACCCAAAGGGGAGTTCATGTGTCGCACTCAGGCAGAACGTGCTGGCTCTTTGCTATTGAAGCCACTGACAGAAAACATCTCCCAGCCCACTCCCCCACTTTAAAGAGATTTTTGTGGGGTTTTTTTTTAAGTCCAGTGTTCCATGTTTATAAATGCACCAGTCCTGCCATCCCTTTTCTGGGTTATATAAATGTTTGATGGAATCGCTCTCGAAGGAAATCAATTTTTTATAAGAATTTAATGATAACTCATTCAAATTCACTTCCCAACATGACAGCTGATTAACCCTTTGCCAGCTAGCTTTCAAACAGACCTCAAAAATAGAAGATTTAAGGGGAAAAGGCCCTCTGTTTTAAAATGTAATTCACATTTGGAAGGGGAAGGATGAGATCCTGGAGTAGGCAGCCATGGACCATCTATTCCTAGAAGAGCAAACCAAGCTCTGGGACTCACACACACGTTTTTATCTTTTTTTTTTTTCCTCCATCCTGTCCTAGTGACTCTTTTATAAATATGAGTTAATGCAAACTTCCCCATTACTGTAGTATTTCATTAGCATCAAAGAGCTGCCTCAGTCCCCAAAGTCAGGAAATTCAAAACTACTGGGCTATGGCAGAAACAATTTATTGCTCTTAACTCTCGACAAGGAATTAACTCCCTGTTATCCTTCCCTGCACACTGCAGAGGGAACAATGTGCTGGACAAACATGACATTAAACAAACTTTAATGCTGTTTGGCCTAACACAATCTCCTTGGAAGTAACTTTGAAGATTACTTTTATATTATATTTCAAAATTCAATATCACCAAACGATTAGATTGAGGGAAGGCATTACAGCCTGGCTTAAAAATCACATTTTTATTCAAGTCAGATGGCTCAGATAACCATCACTGGTTATAACTGTTAATTTTCAATCCTTCAGGATCAAAGGCATTAATAAATCTATTTTCCCTGTGTCTCAACAATGAGATAACTGAACTCCATCTCCTGTGCTCCCAGACAAGTCCCACATTTTTCCATGCCTGAACACAGAGCAGATAACACTTTTATTTTGAAGATGATGGGATTTTGTAGAGTTAAATTGAACGCTCCAAGGGCAGGGACTCACCCAGAGCCACAAGGAACAGCCAAATTCCCTGGAATTCAGAAGTTTGTTCTTGTTCTGCCGTGCTCCAGACACAGCTGGGACTGCCCAGGGAGAGCAGCCCTTCCTTCCAGGCTGGGTAGCCCAGATTTGTCGTGTCCTGCTGAAAACACCTCAGCTCTGTGCTCAGGAATCATTCTGGGCTTGTGAAACCCAAAAGCATCTTTTGCTACCTGTGATTCATGAAAATACACCAAGAACAAACTGAACCAGGCAGCATTTCAGGGGAAGACTTGAGAGACAGAGCTTTAGATGAAAAATATTAAAACAATGAAATTAGGCTGATGTTGGTGAAATTAATCCCAATCTTGTAGCTTTGATAGAAATATATACAGAGAGTTTTAATTTGTTAAAAACCCAGGGCCATGCAATTAAGGTTGAGCAAATGTTAAGCAAAACAGGACTCCTAAAAAGGCAGCAGGAATAAACAAACCAGGCCTCTGCAGCACAGCAATCCTGCAAACCACAACATTTGGAAATAACAGCATTTTTCAAGCCCACTCTCAATGACAGCCCTGACCTCCAAAGGACAGGTTTAAATCAACACCTGGCACAAGAGCACTCCAGGCGAGTTTATCATCAGCTGAATAAATGTATCCTATGGACTGCTGGTTATTCTAATAGCTGGGTAATTAATTGAGATCTGAGTGCTCTTTACTGCCTGTGTCTAGAGACTCTTGTGCTGATCACTCCCTGCTCCTCCACAGCAGCTCCCTCCAGGCTCTGCAGCCACGAGATTCCAGCAGGGATGGCCTTGGAAAGGGAACAGGATCCCACACTCAGTGTGTCCAGGGGAAGGATTGGGAACAGGATCCCACACTCAGTGTGTCCAGGGGAAGGGGAGGAACAGGATCCCACACTCAGTGTGTCCAGGGGAAGGGGAGGACACGGATCCCACA